GTCAGCCAGTCAGCGGCATCCACCACGACAAGCAGAGGCAGAAGCCAAGCAAAGCCTGCGCACACACCTGGTCAAAGACCGGCAGCTGCTGAAAAAGTGGCTCCAAAAAAGCGGCCAAGGTCCAAGTTCAAAGCCTAGCCCAGTCCTGGCAGGGACCAGGCTCAAAGCCATGACAAAGCCGACAAAGCTCCAAAGCGCCATACTGCAGCAACTACAGGTCTTTTTCTTGGTCCCCAAAGTAGAACCTCAGTAATAATACCACCGGCGCTTTGGGTTCGGGCATTGCTCCTCACCCCCCCACATCTTCAGGTAGTTGGCCACTGGCAAGTTGGTGCCCAAAGCCAGGTCCACAGCTCCAGCGCCTCGCTTGCCAGACCTGCTGTTCAACATAGCACTGACCTGGCGGAACGCCGATTCCGTTTCGCCAGCCTTCGTGTACATCGTCCAGCAAATCTTTTTGACCGCCCACAGGTTGGCTTGCGCAGCTGCCAAGTGACAGGCTGTCGTGCCAGTGTAGGCTTGCAGCGCAATCGCTCCAACACTCATCGAATGCAGCAAACACCGCATGATGCGTTCAAAGCTCCCTTCCCCAATTTGATGAACTGGAGTGTCCATGAGCACCATCAAAGCTGTCCACCTAGCAGGGCGCGCATCAATCTTTGTTGTCCTCTCAACAGCTTCAGGGCATCGGGTCACCAGGAGCTCTACAACCTCAACCTGACCAAGCCTGACCGCATGGTGCAACAAGGTCATCCCCTGGCTGTCGGCCACCTCCAGTAGCAGTGGGACAGGCAGCTTCTGGATGTGATCCACCAAGGCCGGGTCCCTGTTCAACAAGGCGTCCAGCAACATCGTGCGCTGCTCCTCTGTCATCCTGGCTGCTTCCAAACGTTCCAGCTTGGAAAGCAAAGACTGGTGGGACACCTTCTGGGCCTCCAGCAAATCCAACAAGCTCTGCACAGCCTGGTCTGGCAAGCCTTCCAACTCTTCCTCTGCCTTGGCCTTCTCAGGCATCAGAGGCTGAGCCCCTCCTACCTCATCATCATCATCGTCGCCGCCAAAGTCGACCTCCATCGGATTGTCTTGGTTGGCAGCACCGGCCGGACCTTCAGGCGCTTCTTGGGATTCTTGGGGCTCTTCCTTCACAAGTTCTCCACCAGTACCTCGAGGACTTGACGCCGGCACAGGAGCAGCCGCAGCGGGAGCTGCCTTCTTCTCCTCCTCCTCCTCCTTGTCCTTGTTTGCCTCCTCCTTTGTCTCATCCTTTGCAGTTTTCAAGTGAGGCTGCTCGTCCTTGCTGGGCTCTGCTGGGCGCTTTTTGCTTCCATCTGCATACCCAGGTGGATGCATTGGCTCAGGCACACTGCCAGACACATACCCAGGTGGATGCAGTGGCTCAGGCACACTGCCAGACGCCGCCGAAGGCGCAGCTAGCAAAGTCAGGCCAGACCCAACAACAACTGCACCAACTTCGCCAGAGGCGTCTTTCAGTGTGACACCTGGCTCAAAGCCGCCTGCTGCATCAACGTGGCCTTCCAACTTGCGTTGCAAAGCAGTTAAATCTTGGACCAGCAGGCGGAGCTTGCGTCTTCGGAGGTCAGAGGTCTCGCCATGGTTGCTGCTGCCACCAGGTGTGGACACAGGGGTCTCAAGAAAATGCCAGGTGCCTTTGTCAAAGCCTTCAGGGGGGTGGGGCACATGGTAGAAGGAAGCGCCAGTGTCGCTGGCCTCAGCCTCTGTCAGCCTCTGTCAATTGAAACTGCTGAGGAAGCAGCATGCTTTCTGCTTCAGAAGAGGATGACTGTCGGTCGCTTCTGTAAAGAAGAGGAGGCTTGGAAGCCTTGCCCACAGGAAATGCAGCTACAAAGCCTGCCTCAATGGCCTTGCGCCTCAGTGGGACAAAGCCTAGGGCCACCTTGGAAGCAGCTGGGTGACTCACATGAACTTTTCCCTCCACAGATTCCAAAAAATCGATAGGGCGAACTGTTGCCACTCGCCCTCTTGAAGGCGGAGCGCGGCTGTTGAGGTCCACAATGTTGCTCATTGTAGTGAGGAACGCAGCAGCTTCTGCGGCTGACCAGCCTAAAAGGCGCATCAGCACCAGGCACGTCAAGGTTGCCGAACGGTGTGCGCCGTTGTGGCACGCTATGAGGACAGACTTTCCATCCAACAGCAGCTTGATGATCTCATCGACGATGTTCATGACTCGGTCCCAAGGAACATCCCCATGCGCAGCGCCAGTGCCATCCACAGTGTCCAAGACATATACATTTGGACTCTGAGGCATTGCAGACTTGCAGGCAGGCCAAACATACCCCACCTCGTTCTCAGAGAGGAGCACTGAGTCGTGGACAGCCTTCTCCCCCCCAAGCCAAAGCCTGCCATTGGTAACTGTCTCGCAGACCAAGGTCATAGGATGCCTCTTGTTGTATTCTTGCCGGGCATACTTCACGCATTCCACAGAACCGTAGTCGTCCACAACCAGGAACTGGTCCAACTCTGACAGCACACCAGCCACAATGGCGTCTGTCATGCTGGAACCAGGCCTAAGGCCGTGGAGCACCTTAGCCCGTGCATCCAAAGGCAAGTACGCTGTTCCAAGCCCATGCGCATTCAAACTTGCCAGTGTCCTGTTCTGACCCAACTCCTTGGACAGGACCATTGCTGAAGGTTGCGCTCAGTCGATCGTGGGAAACGTTGAGCTCTGAAACACTTTGAGCCAAAAGAGGCCGGCGCAAAACAGTTGCTTCCAAGCAAACGGCTTGCTGGTCTTTAGCGAACAAGTTGCGCAGCCCAGGAAAGTGAGTTACGGTAAAGTTAAGGTAAGGCCAACTAGAACTAACTACATGTGCCTTAGCCGCCTTTACCTGGACCTTGGCTGCAATTATTCTGTTTAAAGAAAAAATTACAAACCCCTTGTCACCAACAGTCCCCCCCAGCCCTGCTCTGCCCAAGCTGTCCTCTCCAGGGGCCAGGGAAGAAAGCAACAAAGTCGTCAACGAACCTGGTCCGAGACCGCTTAGCAACGGCCTTCTCGTCTTCGCACTGCAGCATTGTATTCAAAAACTCTTTTGCCTGCCTGCGGGCGGCTGCCCATTCAGCTTGCAAACCAGGAGGCTCTGCGTCCATGATCACCAGGTTTTCAGACAAGACTTTTTCAACTGCTTTTGTGAGGTCTTGCAGAAACTTCCCTCGGCGGGTGCTCTTGGACACGCAAAATGAACCTGGCAATATGCCTAGATGTTTGGTTGCCCTTTCAATTACATTTCCATTTCGATGCTGGGCGCACAGGCTGGGAAATATGAAGGAGTTCTGCGGCATCACTGCATGCAAGTGTTTGAGCAGCCGTATGTTGGCTGCATGCTGGTCACACGACACCAGCACAGCAGAGAACTTTGCTGGAGACCCAATGAAACCAGGCCCAAGGCCGCCTTGGTCCAGGCACAGCGCGCCCCACATGCACTCAGCCGTTTTACGAGGTAGAGCCCTTGGCGGCCTTGCTACGTCAATCTCCACATTCTGGCCTGCAGCGCAGATGCTAAGTTGGCTGTGGCTTGCCAAGACTGACCAGCTTGCAGACCCAACTTGTTTCAAAGAAACATCCAGCTCTGTCTCGTCGAACATCAGGTTCACTATGTGATACAGCAGCAAACCTCTTTCACGCAGCCGGTTTATCTCTGATTGGATATGCTTGGCTTGACAATCAAGGAGGCACTTGCCAATGAACATGCGGGCTTTGATCACATGGGCAGCACTTGCCCCATCAACTTCCCTTGCTGCTTGCCTTACTGTTGCAGTAGCCTCGCCAAAGGCGGCCCTCAAAATAGCCTCAGGCGTCCACTGCTTCCAAGCGCCTCGACCTTTTGGTTTGGGCCTGGCTTCATCAGCAGGCTGCAAAGGAAGCAAATGATCTAGGGTTCTATGGCGCCCTGACGCATTGGACGCTTGAGCCTGCAGCCTGAATGTGTTTGCCCTGTGCTCTTTTCTTTTTTTCCTCAAGAAACTGACCCGGCTTCTCCTTGCATTCATCCGCCTAGCTCTTGCCCTGAAAGCATTGGCCAAGCCACGGCCGCCACGCCCCAGGCAAACACCACGCCCAAGGCGGCCACCAACTCCAACACCACGCCCAAGGCGGCCACGTCCACCAGAGCACCAGGTCTAAGACCGGCCCTAGCAGGCTGCTGGCCACCAAGCGCAATCCCTGCCAAATCATGTAAGCTCAGCATCGCCCCCACCCATTCAACATGGAAGCGAAACTCTTTCGCCAATTGTGGGGGCCATCTTGAACCAAAGGATTGATGGAGGAAAGTGAACCAGGTGTTATCACAACATGTGAAAAGGCTAAGGATGGAGGCAGCTATCGATGTGATGCATGTTTTTTGTTGCTGTTATATAGCAGCCCCAGCCATCGATGTGATGCATGTTAAACCGACCATTACTAACTTGCATGTTCAGTATGTTCAAAAGGTTTGCTTGCGAACAAACATGTTGAACATAAGCAACAATTTCAACAACAATTGCGCAGCAGTTGTTGCTAATATTCAACAATTCCAAAACAATTGCAAAACAATTGTTGCAAATATTCAACAAATTCAAAACAATTGCAAAACAATTGTTTGAAATATTGAACAACTGTTGAAACAATTGTTGAATATATTGAATAATATTGAACATTTGTTGAAACAATTGTTTTAAATATTCCAACAGTTGCAAAACAATTACCCAAACAATTGAACAATTGCAAAACAATTGAAAACAAATGTTCAAACAATTGCCGGTGACTATTTCGGAGCCCCTTGTAACCCTTCACCAGAGGCTTCTTAAAAACAATCAATATATATATATATACACAAATATACAGTATATACATATAGTAAACCATAGAAATATACAGTATATATATATAGATCATCAAAGAACTTAAACCAATTGCTTTACCCTTGGCCTGGCCAAACCTTCCTCTGTCTCCCGGTCCTGTCCAGCTCTCAACGCCGGGCCACGCAGGAAAACCGCTCAGGACAAGGTCTCCACCTCGAGCACCACCTACACAGCCATCCAGAAGCATCGCCGCTCAGCTCCAAAAAAAAGCCTTGCCCATTGGCCACCAATGACCCACCTGGACAACTGCGTGTGCCCAAGTCCATCCTGACAACCGCTGTATTGCTTTTCTATGCTTTTGTGCTATCAATTTCGGAGAGTCACCTCTGGTTTGTGCAGGGGTCGAGTTTTGGGTTGCATGTGATCTGTCAGTCAGGTGCCAAGAAACAAACAGCAAAAGCCGAATAAATGTTGACAAGGGTGGTTGAAAAGGAAAAGCTAGATGGTCTCATCAAAATGGATCTCTCCCATGTCAGTCGAGAGATTCCTAACGGATATGACTCAGATTTCCACCCTGTTGCAGCTGGAGAAACAACGTCAACTGAGATTTGTCATTAGCGATGCTTGCAAGAATCAATGAAGCCAGGCCTTTTCAAAACCAGGAACTTCATTGGAACGAATGGGTCGCACCGGTACTAACTTCTCTAACCATCATTAGGAATTTCAAGGGTCCGCTATGTTCCAACATGCTGGTGCACACCTCAGCTCTCTTAAACGGTGCAGCCAGGCAGCAAGATACGTCTGCAAAGGGTCCGCTCTGATCCACATCGCGCAGTGCGAACCAAAAAGAATGCTTCATCGGCTGCGGCTACAAACCATGCTGACCAACAAGCCATACGCAAAAATGAAACATGCCCAATGCAAGGGAAATACATGGTATTTCTTAAATATTAAGTTGTATTTACTATCTGTGCCAGCTACCATGCCGACACGGCCGACATGTAAACAAAAGCATCACCCATCCAGCACCTCTTTCCCTCTCTCTCTCTATCGTCAAGTTCCTCTATTATAGTAGTGTAAATATCTTCTAGCAGCCCAGCAGTGCTTGCAAACCACTTGCCTTCACAACAAAAGGCCATCCAGTTTTAGTTTGGAAGGTGGATAAACTGCAACTTCCAATTGATTGTTGAGTCGAGCTAACACAAAACCCTTTTAGGTGGGCACCCTCGAGGCCCTCGAGCCGCATAGCTGTTTCAGTGAGAGAAACTGCTGACACCCGTTTATGGCAACTAATGGACAACAAAAGCATAAAAGCCACACTCTCATACTCTCGCGCTGGACGAATTTCAGTCCGCTGTCCTTGTATTGAAAGAGATGGCCTCCAACATCCGCCAACCTAATAGGAATGGCCTCCAACCTAATAACTAATAGCTCCTCCCTAGAAGCGATGGCCTCCGATCCAATAGCAATAGCCACCTAATAGCGATAGAAGTTGTGGACATCTCGTGACCTCACTGAAGTCATTGGCACTCCCCCTGCCCCACCCCACTGCCCGATCCACCACCTCAAACCGACACCTCGCCTTACAAAGCAGGTTGGCAGCCTCCACGGCGTTGGAGGCGAAGGGCGAGGCACTGACGAAGTGCATCGGACGCCAGCCTGTGACGAGAGCGGGGCATCACCATGTGCGTGTTCAGGGAGGTAAGGGGTGGTTCGAAGAAGTGGGGAAGGGGATGCTTCCTTCTAGACCCTAATTAAGATGTTGGACATAAAGCACAAACAAAAGCCCATTGGACTCTCTAGCTAGCTGAAAGGAATTGTTTTCTTTAAGCTCTGAACAACGCCTGCCCTCCGCCCCCCAGTTCCCAGTTCGTACTCAGGCCCCGTCCCAAGGACGCTCTCCAGGTCAAGTTTCACGGTTAAGCGGAGCTCACTGCACTGAGACCGCCACCCATGAAGTGACCAGTGGAGATGCCGTAGTTCACTGCAGGCACTAGGTGTGGATACGCAGGATTCCTGCGCAGGATCCGTTCTGTGACAGGCAAGAAGTATGGTGCAAGTCAAAAGAGCGCCATGGCTATCCAGCAAAGATCGCTTCTAGGATCTTCAAACGTTGCAAGTCAAAGGTGTGATACGGACAAAACAAAACTAGACAATAATAACCCCAAAGCAACCTGAGGAAAAGAGGACTGGACAAAAACACAAACTAGAAAAACCAGAAAACAATCACAGTTGCTGGGTCACCCCAATACCCAACATCACTCGACCGACATGAAAGCCCCCTCATGATGCCACATACCCCGCAAAAACGCCCTGAAGCGATGCGCATCCCCCGGTCTTCAGGCTTGCTGCCAGCGGGTGGTTGAGAGCCTAGGGGAGCTGCGTTCGTGCCGTTCGTGCGGCAAACGTTGTTGGAAGAGACAGCCAACGGATGTGGACGTTTTGGGGACCCAAAACCCAAATCCATATATAGGGATCAACAATTAGTCAGTATATTTATACTCCCCCCAAAAAAGAAAAAAGGTTTCCAATACATTTTTTTGGTGGGGATCTGCTTTTCTATCTGCTTTGGGGTCCACATATGGAAACTGCCGCCGATGAAAACACCAGGAAACATCCGGGACAACCACAAGAGGTGGGCTGCAGGAACCGCGGGAACCCATCCAAGTCCATGCAAGTTCGGGGCGATCCAAAAGGGAATGCACGTGCATGAAATAGAGATCAGCTAAAACGGAGGTCAAACCTCGTCCACATACACATGAATGTAATATGCAAAAACCGCAAACAAATCATGCAACAATGGAAACTATGACAAAGGATACAACATCCAATAATTTATGTGGGCAACCAAAAAAATAGGCTTTCTTCTTGGTAGAGTACAGTCATTTTTGTGAAACACACTTGGTGTTACTTCTTGCTGTTTGTTTACTGTATGTGGACATTACACTCCCCGGGAACAAGCATGATTGCCATGTAGTCGGACAATGTGTATGTGTTGAATGAATTGGTCTGACAGTATGCTAAGCTTTGGCAGGCGTGTCCTCTCGCACCACCAGAAATAACATGAAATAACACGGGTTGCGCAGCTGCCAAGCTGCGTGTCGTGTAAACAATTCTAAACATGGCGGTGCATAGGTTCTCGTGGCGTGGACAGGGCTCACTAAAGCTTTGGATAGCGTCAACCGCGTTGCTCAACCAGAACACCCTCCTACTAACTGACCTAACTGACATCACTCCAAAACGAGTTGCTTGCTGACAGACAGGCAGTAGTAAGGGATACAAAGACAAAGAAGGACCACAGTGTTAAACGTCATCTACCACCAGCCAACGTGCCCACCCACTTCTTTCAACTTTTGAATTGGCTTGCACAACACAAACATTTGCAAACCAATAATTGGACACTTATCCACAAGCAACTCATGGCTTTGGGATAAAGCCCGCACCCACCAGTTTTTGGAAACTGCCCAGTGGTTGAACAAGTTACTTAACTCTCACTCACGACGGGATGTTAGGGACATCTTAGATCCGGAGGACCTGAGGGTCCAGGCCTGTTGCAACGCTTCCATGTCGATCTTAGTTAGCTCTCCTCACATCATCGACATGGTTTGCGATTCTCGGTGCCACTCGAGTTGATTCTGCGTAGATTGAATTATGATTGATTCAGAATATTCAGAACCTTCCAAACCAAGTACACGGATGTGACTCTTGAACCACTCTGCAGAACTTCCTAACAGGATCCAACAGGCGAGATAGTCTGGGCAACCGGTTTCTGGGCAGCTGTTGCCACCCGGGCCACCGGAGGCCGTGCGCTCTCTCTCTCTCTCTCGCTATACCCGGCCGAGGTTGGAAAGGTCATACGAACGGCCGATCCTTTGCGTCGTTTAGCAATGACACTCTTGTGATTCATCGCCTCACACGAACGTCCGGAGTTAGCTATTGACACTCTTCAGGGTCGTCATTTTATCTGGGCTGCCTTTTGTTGCAACAAAATGCCAGCAATGAGCATGCTGACGTCCAAAGTCACATGCGCTTTCACATGCGCTTTCGACATGCGACCTCCTGAGACCTTGTGGGGGGTAGTCATCGTCCTGTCCTCACCTGAGACATGCGTGCATCTGTGCGTTTGAGTCGAATGAGATAGTCTGTGAGATCCCTTATGAGATCCCATTCTTGTACTATGAGATCCCTTGGTGAGTCCCAAACATCCCCTCAAACACTCCCGCTGCACCTTCAAACACTCCTCGCACTGCCTGGACGGATCGGTGGAGGAGTGGTGACCATCTTCAGGGTCGCAGTGGTCTCACCCTTCAGTTCATCTCACTTGGCAAAGGTCCAGGTAGCGTATCATGTAGGTATCGTGGGAGACTCAGTGTTCGAACATGTTCTTCAATTTCAACACGAGAGAGGCCGTCTAATTTTTGACTCACAGCCACATCTATCCACCGTATATTGGGGTGGTTTGAGGGGTGCATGTAGGTCAATATTCTATGGAGTTCGCTGCAAGGGAATGATTTGCGACGAGAATGCTGCAAGTGGGTCGCCTCGATGATCAGTTCCCCATGCTGGCGCAAGGTGATCCCATCTTGACCTCCGTGGAGCCGAAGCTGGGAGAGCTTCGGTGGAGCCGAAGCTGGGATGGGGATGAAACATGCTGCCTCGGGCTGTAAGAAGTCCTTCCAATATCTTCTAATTACTTCTAGTCGTGCGAATATCTGCTACTACCTGGTTGTTACCACTTCTGCTACCACACCTCCCATCGGTCGACGCCAAAAGAAAAATACATATGATATGAGGGACATCAGTGGCGCACTGCCCTGTTTGAACAAGAATCAATTGAAACATGTTTCATACACAAGGTTCGCGGTCCATCTTCTTCCCCATCAATATTAATTAGACAAATTACAAACACATACACATACAAAAGGTATCAAACGGTAGTTTCCAGCTTTTCCCGCGCCATGCATGTCAAATCTGAATTTCCCGGCTCCTAAGACCCAGTGGAACGATGAAGTTGGGTCCCGGCTTGACCCCTGAGGCAAGAGCTACCCTCCGGCGGCTTCAAATCCATGGTTTTCTTGATCTCCTCGATCACTACCTGCTGCAAGTGGTTGTCACCGCAGCTCTGGAAGGTCAAAGGCTCTCATGAAGGGTGACTCCTAGCAAACTTGGAGAACCCGCCACTCTTAGACTCTGTGTGCACCGCGCGACAGTGCCCATTGATTCCATGGACAATGTGCTCTTAGATCA